ACACACACACACACACACACACACACACACACACACAGAAGAGTTTAATGTGTGCTATTGCTATATGATTCACAATTGCACCCCAGTAGAAACCTGCTGCTGGACTCCACCCAACACATAAAAAGAGACAACCCGAAGGATAAACAGTTCACTCGTGTCATAAACACACTACTGAAATGTCTTGTCTGATCTGAAAGCATGTTGTGAACAGACCTGAGGGTGTTTATTGCCTGCAGAAAGCGCTGCTTTTGTTGCACTGCTCAGTTTCCGGGTGCGCGGATGCAGAGGCGCGTCGGACGGGTGCCGGGGAGGGCCAAACAACCGAATGTCAAAAACGCGATTGTTTTCTCAAATGTGTAAAATAAGGAAGTGTGATGCTAAAAGTTCAAAAAGTAAACAACAAAAATTACCCAGTTATTGTTTTTGTAAACTTATTGCTTATTATGCTCTTTTTATTAGCTCCCCTATATGGACATAATTGTGTTAGATTAGGTTAGATTTGCTCTCTCGGTCTCAGCCATGCTACAACAAAGCTACAGACAAAAATGAGGCAACACCTTTAATATATCATATGATATTAATTTCCATATTATACATTATGTGCATTATACATCATACATATTATACATTATACGTATAATTCAATCAGAGCCATATTTTCAAACAATGGCTTTTGAATGAATGAACATTTCAATTAGGCTGACATTAATGTACACTAAAAGCAACTAAAAATCAAACCCATGGACAGCAGCATTTGAATATTTCAAAATAAAATAAAATGCCTATAATATAAAAAGTTAGGCCTATATGAGTAGTCAAAGTGGCCTACCATGTCAAGTATATTATGTACTGTAGTTTCTGTCAGTCTAAACTCGGCCATGTAGTTCCATTCTCTCACAATAATTTAATCAGCACAACAATTAGAATTGTCTTTAATCTCTAATAGTTTTACTCTGTTAACATCTGCTATTTCAAGGAGCTCAGCTTTCTGTATGTATTATTGATCGTGAATTAGAGACTGCAGTAATATCTCAGTTACTGATTCATCATGTGGCTTAAAACCACATTATGTACGATTACAAATTACAGTGGACTCTCTGTAATCTATGCCGTTAGATCACAGAGTTTCACTGTTGATCCACCGTGAACCGCAAACCCAGGATAGAGCGGCTGAGTGAATGTGGTCTGGACTGTGTGGATGAGGCTCATTGTGTCAGAGACGCTGTAGAAGGACAGAGTTCCTGCACTGTGATCCACAAACACTCCTATTCTCCTGCAGCGACCGGATGGTACAGGAAGATCAGTGTAGCTGTTATTGTGCCAGAATGAGTAAAGTAAGGCAGAGCAGTCCAAACTCCAGGACTGATCATTACATCCAAAAACACACTCGTTTCTGCCTCCCTTCCTGCTGACGCTCTTATACGACACTGATATATCCACACCATCATCACCACTCCACTCGAGCTCCCAGTAGCAGCGTCCGCACACACTCTCTCTACACAACACCTGAGGATAATGATCAAATCTGTCTGGATGATCAGGATACTGCTGGACTACGTTAGGGACATTAAACACTCCATTCCAGACGGACAGACGGAGGTGTTCATTCACTGCGTTTGGATCCAGAGTGAACTTACTGTAATCTGAAAGAGATAAAACACAAACTCATTTATTACATTTAAATGAGTTTAAATGTGTGGGCCTCTTAGGGGCCTACAGCAGTGTAACAACTGCTGTACTGTATATCACATACTGTGCAACAAATATATCATCTTAATATTTGCACTTCACTCTTATCAGTGTAAAAGCCATTAAGTCAGTGGAAAGTCCAGAAGTACCCATGTGTGTGTGTGTGTTTCCATTGTGTCTTACATTGTAGGAACTCCTCCCTGATCTTGGGCTCATTGGTGGGAATAATTTCAACATATGATACTAAGAAAATAAACAGACATAATTAGTATTTTTTTTAAACATTCTATGATGACTGAGAGTACATGTATGTCTGCTGCGTTACCTCTGCCAGATATCTTTTCTATCTCCTCTCGACAGAAATCCTCCAGTTTTTCTTTCAGTTGATAGAGGGACTTTCCCACATCATCAAAAGAGAGGAGAGAGCTGAGAGTGATGTTGGGTTCATCTCCAGATTCAGGAGATACAGCGAGAGACTGGAAACTCTGCAGGAAGAGATCGACACAAAAGATAAAGACAGAAAACAAAGACCTTCATGACCGCCACTCAGCTGCACTACAATCACATATTTACTTGCTTGTTTATATCTGTGTTTTATTTGCAATTGTTGCTTCATTCTGGTATTAATCAGGTCTAGCACTGCTGTTCTAGTAATTTCAAGCATTTCTATTGATTTTATGACCAGGTCTTAGAAATCCATTCTGTTTATAATGAACAACGATATGACTCTGGTATAGCACATTTCAACTGAACTATGATTTTATGTATCATTCATGGTTGTCCACTCCTGCTCTTGGAGGGTCACTGTCCTTCAATCCTAATTCAAACTAGCTAATGAAGGTCTTCAGGATTACTAGAAACTTGGGGCCAAATTCTGCAGGACGTTAGCTTTTTAAAGGGAGAGTTCACCCAAAAATGAAAATGACCCCATAATGTACTCACCCTAAAGTCATAGGTGTATATGACTTTCTTATTTCAGACAAATACAATCGGAGTTACAATAAAAAATGACCTGGCTCTTCCAAGCTTTATAATAGCAGTGTATGGGTGATATTCAGTATAAGCAGTGTATGGGTGAACTTGTTAAAACCACAGTTATTTTATTTCAGATCTGTTACCTTGAGAAAATGGATGTGATCATGTATATGTGAAATCTGCTCAAGCTCAGCATGTCTCCTCTTCAGATCATCAATCTCCTGCTCCAGTCGATACATGAGTCCTTCAGCTCGACTCACTGCAGCCCTTTCCCGTTCTCTGATCATCTGCATCATCTCAGAGCGGATTCTCTCAATAGAACGGATGAGCTCTATGAAGATCCTCTCACTGTCCTCCACTGCACTCTCTGCAGAGCACTTTTAGGGCACACATAACAATCAGCTCTTACTGGTGCCTGTGACCCACAGTCATAAACAGAGTCCAAACAGAGTCTCAAACCTCTGTTCTTCTCTAAACTCACCTTATGAGACTCCACAGCCTCTCTCAGCTCCTCGAGATCTTTCTTTCTTTGCAGGATTCTCTGCTTGAAATTTCTCTGTGTCTCTTTCAAAATTATCTGTATGGAAATTTAGTAAAACTGTAAACTTTACAAATATTACATACAACTGTGTTAGAAATGACGGTAATACTTAGTAGGGGACCGATTCTCACTATTAACACTAGTTGCTTATTAGCATGCCTATTATTAACATATTTATTAGTACTTATAAAAGACATATTCTGCATGACCATATTCTACATCCCTAATCCTATCCAATACCTAAACTTAACAACTACCTTACCAATTATTAATAAGCAGCAAGTTAGGAGTTTATTGAGGCAAAATTCATAGTTAATGGTTAACTCCCCTAGAGATAAACAGTTGAGTTTTACCGTTTTCAAATCCATTAATGAGAGTATAGTTCCTAGCCATATCGGCCTAGAAAACCGCAACTTTTCATTTTCCGTCGGTCTTAGTACACGATGTAACTACAGAAGAGTCAAGTTTTAAATAGAAAAAATATAGAAACTCTTTGGTCATTTTTGAGCGAGATGCTAACGGTCTAATCAGATTCAATGATCTATGCTAAGCTACAGCTAAAAGTGCTACCGCCAGACCCAGAGATTTGAAAATGAGCCTATTTTCAAAAATAGTGCAGTGTTCCTTTAAAGGAACGAGAATTGGACCTTAAAATAAAGTGTGACCGAAATTACTATATAATTTGCATCCTAGATAGTGTGAAACTGCCATAAAGCTGAACAAATATGAAGAATTAGAATGAAAAATTTTTTTGATTATGAGTACAGATCTCAGAAGGTTTTGAAGTAATGGGAACGAGATGCTACATCAGTATCTGACACTATGGGAACACCCTAATCATGCGATGATTGACTGAACCCTGTATAGTCACGCCAGTTCATTGGCTGATGGCATCACCAGTGCCTAAAAGGGATGTACCTGGATCATCAATCCTCAGATGTTTCTATGAAGGAATAGCAGCTGTAATGAAAGAGTATGGCAGATCTACAAGATCTTTCCTAGGTTCACTCCATGTTGCATCAGTACAGTAGGTGACGTTATAGGAACACTATACCACAGTGCCATACTACAAAGTTTATCAGCTCTTGAACATATGCACAGACTGATAGAGTAATATAAACTGACACCTGCTCAAACTGATAAAACTTGGGAACCAGGAGTCAAATCCAGATTGTAAAATCGGACAAAAATTCTACAAAGTTTATCAGCTCTTGAACATATGCACAGACTGATAGAGGAATATAAACTGACACCTGCTCAAACTGATAAAACTTGGGAACCAGGAGTCAAATCCAGATTGTAAAATCGGACAAAAATGTGCAGAGAGACACCGTTTGATGCCACACAAAGGTCCTCCTAATCTGCACCCTTAGATAATGGCTAAAAACGAAGCCACACTTCAAGCAGAGTGAGCTTAAATGCCAAAACGTGAGGTTAACCCAAGTGCCTGCACACCTTCACACTGTTTGGGTTTTTTTTTCAGTTTGCACCGTTTTCACTGTTGAGTTTGTCGTCATGGTTTCTGATTTGAGTTCATCATTAGGTTCAGGTGTGTCTTGTTAATTATCCTTGTTTGGTCTGTGTATTTAAGTTGGTCTCTGTCTGCTCCTTGTTGTCCAGTCTTACGTCCATGTTACTTCTGTGTTGAAAGCCTTCGCCTTGTTTGGATTAACCTATCTGTGGATTTATTAAAGACTGCTCATCTTCGTCTTTGTGTGTGTTTACAACACAGTTTGCTGACAGCACCTAATAAGAAAGAGAAATTGCATCCTTCACCAAATGTGACTTTATTTGTGACTTTATTTCTACAAATTGAGAACAACCCAACCTTAGGTAACCTAGCTTCTGTCACAAAACTTTCACCTGACTGGGAGCAAAATCCATACAGGATAGACCCACCAATAAGGTGTGAAAATCTCTAGTCCCTCATCTTAAGAGTGAAATTCTGTCAATTTAAGAGTGAGTAGCTTGGCACCATTAGCTTTGTGGGCAGGGTGCTGACATATAGCACCATTGCACTTTTGGCGTCCCAAGTTCAAGTCCCATCACACAGACCTTTCCTGATCATGTCCCCTTCTCTCTCTCTCTCACGTTCTCTCCTGCTTCCTGTCTAGCTACTCTCTTATCATAATAAAGGCAAAAACATCAACAAAAAAAACCTTAAGACTGATAAGCTCAGTTAAATGGAGCCCCCATCAAAACCTTTTAGGACTATAGATAAGTACCAAGAAGGAGCACAAGCAGGACGGCGAAGTCTCAGCTGTCTAATCCCATCCATGAAATGAGAAACAAAGTGAATGCCTCCCAAAAGAAAAACACTCAACTGGTGTGTGCAGCAAACACCACCACATTCACCTTAAATATAGCTGGGGCCATGCCAACAACATCCCAAGGAAATTCCTCCAGGAAGAACACCACATCTGAGAACCAAATGTGGGACTGCCAAAACAGTGCTACCAGCAGTAGACACAAACATGAATGTCAGTAGATGCATTTAATCTCACAAATGCTGTAGAAGCACACTTGTTGACATACAAATGGGCCCTCTGCCTTGCATTCTCGAGACCATTCAACACCAGAGGCGATGACATGAACAGATCTGCCCTGCCAAACCTCTGCCACATCAGACCTGTGGTCTGAGGAGGCAACCTCCATTTCTTGGACCTGGACAATGTCTTAAGAGAAGATCTTCTCCCAGATTGATTTGACCTTAGATATGAACTGTCCTTAGCAGCAGAAATTTGTTCTGCACCCAAACCAGAATAAGCCACTCTAACCTCCACATGGGGTATGTGAATGCACTCCCCCTGACAGGAACTTAGCCTCTGAAGTTGATCAAGAACAAGGTCTCAATGCTGACATACCAAGGTTGAGTATGCCCTGGAGTTGCAATGAATTCAGAGCAGTGTAATTGCACTTTGTAAGAACAAGGTGCTATGGCCAGTTCAAAAGGAAGACACCATAATTGTTCAATCTATCGGAGTCTCCCAGAAACCGATCATCATGGGGAGCACTTCCATTGAAATGAGGTGGGCAGAATCAAATTTGGATAGCATACCCTGCTCTATGGTTCAAAGAACCTAAAAAGACACACATGGCAGAAGTCTCCATGCTGCCAAATGAGCTGAGAGAGGTGTCAGGCATTTCATGGTTAAAGCCTGAAGATGAGGGTTTTGGTTTACTAAGGGGACTTTCGCATCGGGTATTGCTCTAGGAACTTAGTTATAGGAAAAAAACAAGGACAGTTCCCAGAGAACTAAATGTTCCCTTACGAACATTTAGCTGGTTGCATTGGCACCAACAGTAGGAACTCTGAAGTGACTTAAGCCAGCTGACAGTGACGTCATTCAAGCAAAAAAAACTCCTGTACACTGGAGAACAACGGTCGCCGTGATTTTGCCAAGTAAGACATGTTCCTGGATCAACATCTTTTGATATTTTCAACAAGGATGTTGATCCAGGAACATGTTGTACTTGGTGAAATCACGGTCATCAGAGAAGAACATATGGATTATCACATTTACTTAAAATTTCTTTAGAGAGAAATATTACTTTATTTTTACCCAAAATAGGGTGACGTGGGCTGTATGGAGTGCTATAAACACATGTAATGTATGTTTCCTTCATACTCATAACCGGAGGGTGCCCTCGCACAGAAACTCCAAATATGCCTCACAAAAGTAATAGAACTTATGACGCTTCAGGAAATCCCTAACATGGACAAAATATCCTTAATATGGATCCCTATCGCTGAGCTGAATGAAAGGAAGATATAAACGCTTTGACTGATTAACCATAAAGACAATGCACACAAATGCAACAATATATTGTTTATCTATATTCTTCAAATCAGCGGGGGTGTTTTCATAAAAATAAGGCATATTTCTAATATAACGCTAATAGACATAGCATTACAGTTTCGACTGATGTTATAAAGTGAGTTTGGAGTAAAATATGTTATTAAATGTTCTATTTTGTTGGACAACAGGCTTATAAATGTTTCTAATTACAAGTTGCTTTTTCAAATGCACATTATTAGCGACTCAAACTCGCCGTGCTTTCAGAGAGGCAGCATTTGTGAAACACGCAGTGCATATATTTATCTAATAAAAAATCGCACCAAGCCAAATCACGATTTTGGTTTTATCCCTTTTAATCGTGCAGCCTTAAATCAATAGACAGTACACTTACATCACTAGTAGTTCCTATTGTGCTGGGTTAGACCCTACTCTCAAGTAGGAGCTAATTTAGTTCCCCCAAAAGTGTTCCTAGAACTAAATTAATTCCCAGTTCCTGCAGTGTGAAAATGCCAAAGAACAGGAATTCCGCCATTAGTTATAGGATGTCCAGTGTGGACATGAAAAGGTTCCTCCAGTGCAAAAGCCCTATAAGTGTCCCCCAAAGTCCAAAATAAACATTACAGTTAAAATGGAAGAATGTATGGTTAAACTTTATTTTGATGGTCCCCTTTAGACATTCTGTTGACTTTAATTAACTTTGCAACTACACATCTACTAACTCTCATTAGAGTATTAATAGACTGTAAGTTTAGACTTACTGCAAGTTTAGGTGCAGCACATCAGCCTCGGAATTGCCAACCAGTGAATTGGCATGATTCTATATATTCAGACAATTGTCACACCTGGAAGGTGTTCCCATCAGCTACTAATGCAGCATTGAGTGAACCCAAGAAATATGTCTCACATTTCTTTAAGCATGACTTTCAAAAGATAGATAGATAGATAGATAGATAGATAGATAGATAGATAGATAGATAGATAGATAGATAGATAGATAGATAGATAGACTTTCAGTTCATACCTGTTTCTTTGTCATCTCTGCTACAGCTGCTACAGTGTTGTGGTTTTTGTGATTATCCATTGTGCACAGATAACAAATGCACTGCTGGTCAGTATGACAATAGATTTCCAGTAATTTATTATGTGTTGGACAGGTTTTCTCCTGAAGTCGTCCAGTGGCTTCTGTCAGATTGTGTCTCTTACCTTTAAAGAGATTCTCATGTTGTTGGAGGTGATTTTGACAGTAAGAGTTCAGACACACCAGACAGGACTTGACAGCTTTATTTTTTCTCACAGTACAGACGTCACACTCCACATCTTCAGGTCCAGCAGCAACAGCAGCCTGGAGTTCAGTCTTCTTCAGTTGCTCCACCACTTCAGTCAGCATGGTGTTTTTATTTAAAGCAGGTCTTGGAGTGAAGGTCTGTCTGCATTGAGGGCAGCTGTAGACTCCCTTCTGATCCTCCTGATCCCAGTAGCTTGTAATACAGCTCATACAGTAACTGTGTCCACAGGGAATGGCCACTGGATCCTTCAGGAGATCCAGACACACTGCACAGCTGAACTGATCCTGAGAAAAAATGGTTTCTGCCATTTCAATTTGTTTACACACAGATCAAGAGACAAATACAGCAGCTCAACAAGTTTTGCTTTCTTTCGAACAGCTTGAAACCGTTTTCCTGGCTCTGTGTTTGAGATATGTGTGTAAAACAGGTGTGTCTGTAAGGTGTGACTCAGATTGTATTTTACTGCAGATTCATAGGCAATAACAAAGTCCATTCCGTCTCACAAACAACCTTACAAAAACAGACACTAAGAGACAAAAACCGCTGCAAACATGTCAGTCCATGTGTGCTGCCAAAGCCCAATGCTGCAGTATTGAACCACCACATTACATACACACTGTCTACTCAAAATAAAAACATTTGTTAGACATCCAGAATAAAAATTAAATTATAAACAGTTACTAATATTTGAATCTGTTTATTATTATAATATTTGTTTTATAAGTTGAATTATTATATATCTGTCCTTTTATCATTTGACAGAAACTTTGTTAGGTGTGGGGAGAGGCCAAGGACTCAGGCACAAAGCGTGATGGTCTTTTATCAATACATAAATAAACAGAAAGGTAAATAAAAACCACCCCGTAAGGGAAAGAGCACGCAGTCCAGGGCAGATGGCAGCCAAATCATCTCCAAAAACAAGAGGCATATTACGCAAAGTTTCAGAGTAGATTTACAGTTGACAAAACCAAACAAGTCCAACGCAATTTAAATCAGGCATAGCAGTCTCACAAAGCTCACTATAAATGTTTTATAGTCAAATCTGGGTTCAATCAATGGCTTATGATTAACTCAGTGTGCACCTGAAAGATTTTAATGCATGAAATAGGGGCAAATTCCATGTATTGTACTGTTGCTGAACCAAAAATATGAATATACATGGTATCTACTGTATATACCATCTACCAGGAGCAGGGGTTCTTCATCTCTATTACTCATTATATTATTATTAATTAAACATAACATGATCAGAGCCATATTTTGAAACAATGGTGTTTGAATGAAAAAACAAATGACAACAGAACGACAACATATTAATGTACACCACCACGACCACAAAACTAAAATACGTCCTATTGTCAGGATAAACCAGACTTAGACAGGATGTCTAAGGTGAGTAAACTGAACAGTGAACATTAATCAAAAGGTGGATGATGATGATGATGATGATGATGGACTTTCCGCACAGTTGACTGAGCAGTGAAGACAACACAACGTGGATGGTATCATCTCACAATGTTGGTAGACTTATCAGGGAAGTCGTGGCCTAATGGTTAGATTAGAGACGGACTTGTAACCCAAAGGTTGCGGGTTCGAGTCTCGTACTGGCTGGGATTGTAGGTGGAGGGAGTGAATGTACAGCACTCTCTCCCACCTTCAATACCACGACTGAGGTGCCCTTGAGCAAGGCACCGAACCCCCAACTGCTCCTCGGGCGCCGCAGCATGTGTGTGTGTTCACTGCTGTGTGTGTGCACTTTGGATGGGTTAAATGCAGAGCACTAATTCCAAGTATGGGTCACCATACTTGGCCTCACGTCACGTTCCCTTTTTGTCACTTTTTCACTTTACTTTCTCACGCAGGTTTATACTGGGCAGGTAAGGGAGATCGCTGGAGAATATCCCTGGAGATTCACAACGTGAGTATCACAGGTAGAGAGTCTGCATCCTAGTTCAAGGCCAGACACTGTGTTACATGTTCTCCATTTGTCTGGACTTTTATGTTGTATTTCCTGTTTCTTGTTATAGCTGTTTCATTGGTTCCCTTGATTGTATCCCTTAGCGTGTCTAATTTCCTTGTTATCTTGTTAGCTTCCCTGTGTATGTACAGCTCAGTGTTTCAGTCCGTCTTTATCAGTCGATGTCTTGCATGTTGGTAAGCTGTTGCGTTCCTGTTTCCTTTGTGAATGATCTGCATTTGTGTTATTTGAATAAACTAATGCTCAGTGGTGTATAAAGTACCTGAAAGCCATCCTCAAGTAAAAGTACAGATATCTTACCAGAAAATGACTTTGGTAGAAGTCGAAGTCACCGTTTAGAATATTACTTGAGGAAAAGTCTTAAAGTATGTGATATTTATTGTACTTAAGTACGAAAAGTACAGCAAGTGACTGTTAATGAGTGAGTCAATGAGATTCAACCGATGAAACACTGAATCATTTATTCAACCGATTCATTCAAAAAGCTGATTCATTCAATAAGTAAACACCGTCCATTGCTCAGAGACGCAAAACAGTGCTGTGATCTTTGTTTTTGGAACTATTTTCGTTAGCAATTGGGGAGAAGCGATTAGTCAACAGAAGAGACGGACTGTTGTTCAAATTATTACTTGCTGCTAGGAAGGAATATTTCGTTTTCTACCTATTTCTACTTTGTATTTTCGTTGGAGTTTGTATTTTTGATTGCACTTACTGGTAATTGTAATAATTGCCCTCGGCTTAGAAGGAGCCTGTGTTATTTGCATTGCTCCCTTCCTGTGCTTAAGTGCGAACTGTAGTTTCGATTTGAGGAATTGCCCTGCTATAGGCTATTGGCTGTGCTAATTAGAAGGCGGCCACAGCTGTTTTCACTTTACTGTGGATTTATGTGATGTCTGAGCTGACGAGGAAGCGTTCAGCCCTTCTCGTGTGAAGACCAACGAGTGTAAAGACCAACGAGTATAAAGACCTACGAGTGTAAAGACCTACGAGTGTAAAGACCTACGAGTGTAAAGACCAACGAGTGTAAAGACCTGCGACTTTACCTGCGCGACTTCACCGAGCAAAGAAACCGGCAACGCACTTGAGTATAATTTTTATCTTCCCTGTACACACTCTCCTTTTCTGTCCTCTCTTTTCCACGTCTATCAAGTGTTTCCAAAACATTCCAGTTGTCTCTCTGCAACGCTCTAACATCACAGGCAACGCAATCTTGCTAACCTGCATCCTATCTCTACATCCTCTACTGCACCTCTTTCTTTCTCAGCTTGGGCTTGACTGAGACCTGGATTCGTCCAGAAGACTCCGCAACCCCAGCTGCTCTAGCTAACAATTTCTCTTTCTCTCACACCCCCCGTCAGGTTGGCCGGGGTGGGGACACTGGTCTGCTCATTTCTAACAATTGGAAATACTCAACCCATTCTCCCCTATGCAATTATAACTCATTTGAATCTCATGTGATTACTGTAACAGCTCCTATAAAACTCCAGGTTGTGGTAATTTACCGCCCTCCTGGGCAAATTCTATCCACCTTCCTAGAGGAGCTGGATGGGCTGCTGTCCTCATTCCCGGAGGATGGCAGTCCACTTTTAGTCTTTGGCGACTTCAAGATTCATCTGGACAAGCCTTATGCTACAGACTTCCATTCACTCCTTGCTTCATTTGATCTCAAACGACTTACCACTACAAGCACGCACAAATTAGGCAACCAACTTGACTTAATTTACACACGCAATTGTATTGCAGAAAACATTTTGGTAAAACCCCTACACATCTCTGACCATTTTTTCATTACATTTAAACTACATTTTGTTACCTGTGTGCCACCAACCCTTATACTGGTTACTTTTAGATGAAACTTACACTCTCTTTCACCCTCCCATCTTTCCTCTGTAGTATCCTCCTCTCTTCCCTCACCTACTCATTTCTCATCACTGGATGTGAATGCAGCAACTGACACTTTATGCTCTACTTTAATTAACCCCTGGTTATCCGATGTTCTTTGTGAGCATCGAACCAAACTCAGGGCAGCAGAGAGAAAATGGTGCAAATCAAAAGATCCGTCAGACCCGAGTGTGTATCAGTCTTTGCTTTTATCTTTCTCTGCTGAAGTCCATACTGCCAAATCTTCATACTTACACAAGATCAACAGCGCTCCAGACACACGTAATCTCTTCAAAACTTTCGATTCTCTCCTCTGTCCCCCTCCACCACTTCTATAACAGCTGATGAGTTCGCCACATTCTTCACAGACAAAACCAGAACAATCAGTAGTCAATTCTTGGCCTCACACACACACACAGGACTTCAAATCAACCACACCCACTGCTAAAACTCCCATCTTCTCCTTCTGTCCCCTCACGGAGGCAGAAGAATCAAAACTTCTCCTCTCCAGCCATCTACAACATGCCCTCTAGACCCAATCCCCTCACACCTTCTCCAAGCAATCTCTACTACACTTTCACCAGCACTCACACATATCATCAACACATCTCTCCTCACAGGCACTTTCCCCACTTTATTCAAGCAGGCTCGGGTAACCCCACTGCTCAAAAAACCTACATTAAACATTTCACTTACAGATAGTTACAGACCTGTCTCTCTCCTTCCGTGACTAACAAGGAACAATTAGAGCCAAAGAGGAAGTAAGTTCAAGTAAATGTCTGCATTGACCTGTGTAAGACAAACTGACCAACAGGAAGTTTTGGATCTGCTGAATGTGTATTTTTCAAGCAATATATTGCGGCTTTCACTGTTATTTTTCTGCACAGTGATGACTAGTGAAGAGTGTTTCTACTAATTTACTTAAAGGGGTCATATGATGCGATTTCAAGCTTTCCTTTCTCTTTGGAGTGATACAAGCTGTTCATGAATAGATAGTATCCCTAAAGTTGCAAAGACTAAAGTCTCAAACCCAAAGAGATATTCTTTATAAAAGTTAAGACTCGTCCATGCCCTCCTAAAACGCCTCGTTTAAACACGCCCCCACATGTCTATGTCACGATGTGGGAAGATTTGCATAACACCGCCCAAATGTTCACGCAAAGAAAGAAGGCGTAACTTTTATTCTCGCTTTAGTATTGTTGCCGCCGCCGCCATGTCGTGAAGACGCTGTGTGTTTCGTTGTGAAAGCGAAACTACTTTGTCTTCCAAAAGAGGGCACGACTAGAAATCAGTGGTTAAGTTGTATTTACAACACTGCTCCAGAACAGTTCAACCCAAATATTTGCTTTTTACGGACTGTTTCCTGATCCTGGTAGAGTAGACTACAATTCCGGTGTTCCGGTGAATTCAGTTCCCCTGTTTCCCCTTCGGTGCGCATGCTGACCCTATACAGTCTATGATGCTGACAAATAATGCTGACTCACAGCCTGTAAGTACGTTTTCATATTTAAAGAATTTGCCACTGACGATTCAAATGCGAGTTTTGGGCAGTGTAGAGTAGCACTTGTTGTTTGTCGTTTCTCCGATCACAAATGCAGACATGGTTTTATGTTTACGCGGCACGATGCAACGCAACGCGTAAAAAGACAGTATAAGTCATTATAATCCATAATTATGTCCCCACTGGATGCAACAAATGCCTCGTTTGTAATGGGTTTTCATGTTTTTGTCTCGTCGCTCCGGCTGGACACGGCATCACAGTATGGTGAGGGGCGTAACATTTCCGTCTCACGCTTGAGGTATTCGGCCAATCACAACGCACACCACGCTTTTCAGAACGATGAGCTTTGTAAAAATCGATGTGTTTCAGAAAGGCGGGGCATAGAGGAGAAACAATAATGTACAGTATGTGGAAAATAATGGGTTTTTTTAACCTTAAACCGCATAAACACATTTCATTACACCAAATACACAACATAATGTTATTTTTTGCAATGTCATATGACCCCTTTAAAAGTGTAGCTGACCCAGGATTCTATCATTATTTACATCATTACATCATTCCCCCATATATTTTTTTCCCAAACCTCTGACATTTGTTTTTCTGCAGAACTCAAAAGAAGATACTTTGAAGAATGCTGGTAATCAAAACAAACACTTTTGTCACGTGTGGACAACATGAGGGGGAGTAAATGATTTTCATTTTTGGGTGCACTATCCCTTTAATTAGGATGATACACACTTTAAATATTAATCATGCTGGGCAATCATTGCAATTAGTCCTGTAAATAGTCTGTTGAACAACAAGTGCATTACTATAATATATATTTAATTTAATTCAGCTTTAGACCTTTAGTAATAGATACTTGTATATTATTTGCTCTTTACAGGTGCAGAAATGAAAGCTCCCAAGCAAAGAACCCACCAGATTAAGGTGTGGAAAGAAATGTTACACAACGACCAAAATTCCCGATAAGAGATTTGGAATATGAGCAACAACCAAGGAACAGCAGTCACTGATTCACTCCATAGTAATAGTTAGGTAATCATTTAAATTATTTTGCCATGTACACAATGTGTTTAATTCCAAAGACATTTACCAACATGTTGTTCTAAACCATTTTTAAGTTCTTAATGCTTTAAGCTTTTACAATCTTATTGTATAACTGCTGTTTTTTTTCTGTAATTGCATGGTTTTGTAAATAAGCTTCATTTCACTGTTCCTGATTTGCAGCTCAAATTCACATTGCAGTAATATTTACAGCCAGCTCTCTATAATCTATAGATCACAGAGTTTTACTGCTGACCCATTAATAACCGCAAACCCAGGATAGAGCGGCTGAGTGAATGTGGTCTGGACTGTGTGGATGAGGCTCATTGTGTCAGAGACGCTGTAGAAGGACAGAGTTCCTGCACTGTGATCCACATACACTCCTATTCTGCTGCAGCTGAAGAGTTCAGGGAGTTCAGTATGATTGTCATTGTGACTAAAAGAGCATCTGGAGGTAGAGCAGATCAAACTCCAGGACTGATCATTATATCCAAACACACACTCATTTCTCCGTCCCTTCCTGTTGATGTATATATAAGACACTGATATACACACAAATCCACTCCCACTCCACTCAAGCTCCCAGTAGCAGCGCCCGCATACACTCTCTCTACACAACACTTGAGGATAATAATGAAATCTGTCTGGATGATCAGGATACTGCTGGACTCCGGCGGTGAAGGTAACCACTCTGTTCCTCTCAGACAGACAGAGGTGTTTATTCACTGTGTTTGGATCCAGAGTGAACCGACTGGAATCTGATGGGGACAGAACACGCAGAAAAATGTATCAACCTGAAGAACGAGACACTGAAGAAAAACCCACCACAAATGCATAGACAAGCAGAGTGTTAACAAACGGTGAAAAAAAAAAAAAAAACAGAAAGTGAAAATTCACAGTGCTGTTGAACCAAAATACCAGCACTCCTTGAAACGCTGCTCGACCAATCAGATTTAAACTGTCTGTTGAAACAATCTGTTGTATAATTTCAGTACTATGCATATTGTATAAATTAATATATCATTTTTAATTATGATATATTAATATTACTTCCATGGATCTCACTTAGTACTTTAATTGTGACATTTTTTACAAGGTTTGGTTATATGTATATAATATAAATATTTACTTTTAATGTATCTACAATGAACCTTTTAGCATGTTGCTGGTTTGCTGAAAATGTATAAAATCAGAAATGTGTGGAATCAGAAAATAGGTATGTATTGTTAGGACATACCAATTATCTTTGCTTAATAAACATAAATAGATTTGAATGAAAATGTAAATGTCTTACATTGTAGGAAATCCTCCCTGATCTTGGGTTCATTGGTGGGGATAATTTCAACATATGATACTAAGAAAATAAACAGACATAATTAGTATGGGTCACATAAAACATTTTTTTTATTCTATGACGACTGAGAGTCAGGGGTGGACTTAGTGATTTGGGGGCCCTAACCCTTATTTTGCTCTCTCTCTCTCTCTCTTACCAATTATCTTTGCTTAATAAACATAAATAGATTTGAATGAAAATGTAAATGTCTTACATTGTAGGAAATCCTCCCTGATCTTGGGTTCATTGGTGGGGATAATTTCAACATATGATACTAAGAAAATAAACAGACATAATTAGTATGGGTCACATAAAACATTTTTTTTATTCTATGACGACTGAGAGTCAGGGGTGGACTTAGGGGCCCTGGGGCCCTAACCCTTATTTTGCTCTCTCTCTCTCTCTCTCTCTCTCTCTCTCTCTCTCTCTCTTTTTTTTCTCTCTCTCTCTCTCTCTATCTCTCTCTCTCTTAGTTGAGATAGTGAATTGGTGGGTTTTTGTTAAATGTGAGCCAAAATCATCACAATTCAACTTAAACTACTTCAGTCTGTGTGCACTGAATTTATTTAATACACTAGTTTCACAATTTGAGTTGAATTACTGAAATAAATGAACTTTTCCACGACATTCTAATTTATTGAGATGCACCTGTACACACTGGAGCGTTTGCCAAATATTTTTCGCCAATATCAGCTGGGGCCCCCTGATGACCCGGGGCCCTAAGCAGTCGCTTACCTTGCTTATTGATTTTGTACACCGCTGCTGAGAGTAAATGTATGCCTGCTGCGTTACCTCTGCCAGATATCTTTTCTATCTCCTCTCGACAGAAATCCTCCAGTTTTTCTTTCAGTTGATAGAGGGACTTTCCCACATCATCAAAAGAGAGGAGAGAGCTGAGAGTGATGTTGGGTTCATCTCCAGATTCAGGAGATACAGCGAGAGACTGGAAACTCTGCAGGAAGAGATCGACACAAAAGATAAAGACAGAAAACAAAGACTTCATGACCTCCACTCAGCTGCACCAGTTTGATAATATCTGTGTCACATGACCTATTCATAATTCATGCCCGTAGCACAAACAGTGCAGGATAGGTTAAGCACTAAAGTTTAGTACTTAGGGTTACCAGTTTGTTCAGTTGCATGAGTGTGAGCACCAATATTAATAATGCATACCACCAATTAAATGAAAATGAAGAAAGCCATTAATGGTAAGGCTTTGCTAAAAACAACTGTTCTGTATTTTCAGCTTACCTTGAGGAACTTGGTGTGACCATGTATATGTGAAATCTGCTCAAGCTCAGCGTGTCTCCTCTTCAGATCATCAATCTCCTGCTCCAGTCGATACATGAGTCCTTCAGCTCGACTCACTGCAGCCCTTTCCCGTTCTCTGATCATCTGTGTCACCTCAGAGCGGCTTCTTTCAATGGAGCGGATGAGCTCTATGAAGATCCTCTCACTGTCCTCCACTGCTGTCTGTGCAGAGTGCTGTTAAACACACATCACAATCAGCTCGTACTGGTGTCTCACACAGCCTGTGACCCACAGTGGGCCTCAGTGGGACTGAAAAAGCTCAAACACTGGAAGAGAGTCCAAACTGAGTCTTGGACATTTCTTCTTCTCCAACTCACCTCGTGAGACTCCACAGCCTCTCTCAGCTCCTCAAGATCTTTCTGCCTCTGCTGGATCCTCTGCTGGAATGTTCTCTTTCTCTCTTCCAAAACCACCTGTATGAAAATCACATAACACTGTAAACTTCTGAAATGCTACATGAAACTGTATGCAGTTGGCAAATGCAAACTATGTAATATGAGACTATAATGAAACTGAACAACTATGAAGAAAAACAAGTATGAAGAAACTAAATGAACCATTACTGAAAAGATCATTATCATATGGCTTCTGCAATTGCTGCTGGGTTTCAATGGGACTGAAAGAGCTCTGGCAATGGAAAATAATTCATAATCTTCTGTTCTTCTCCAAACTCACTTTATGCGACTCCACAGCCTCTCTCAGCTCAAGATCTTTCTCCCTCTGCTGAAACTTTCTCTGTCGCTCTTTCAAACTCATCTGGATACAAAAACACATACAACTGTTATTGTCTGAATTTATGTGAATGGGGTTTGCAACTTGTATAGTGTGAGATAGTCATGAAGTGAAGATAGATTTTTGATAGCAAGTGTTTAGACACACCTGACGGGACTTGACAGATTTGCGTTTTCTTCGAGTACAGACGTCAGACTCCACATCTTCAGGTCCAGCCTGGAGTTCAGTCTTCTTCAGTTGCTCCACCACTTCAGCCAGCATGATGTTTTTATTTAAAGCAGGTCTTGGAGTGAAGGTCTGTCTGCATTGAGGGCAGCTGTAGACTCCCTTCTGATCCTCCTGATCCCAGTAGCTTGTAATACAGCTCATACAGTAACTGTGTCCACAGGGAATGGCCACTGGATCCTTCAGGAGATCCAGACACACTGCACAGCTGAACTGATCCTGAGAAAAACTGGTTTCTGCCATTTCAATTTGTTTACACACAGATCAAGAGACAAATACAGCAGCTCAACAGCACTTAACTTTCACTTTCTCTGAGCGAATGAAACAGTTTCCTGGTTAACGAGACTTGTGCAAAATAGGTGTGTCTAGAATGCGAAGCTTAAGGAATTCAACTCTTCTGGTTCCAGCTGCTTAACGAGCTATGAAAGATTATATTTGTACTTTATTTTTATTTATTTACTTTTGGAAGAATATAAAAAAAATCTACAGAACAGATGTAACTCATCAAAAATATGAGGCAAATTTAACAAAAAAAATATAAAAAGTTAATTGTGTTCCTTATCGCCAATGGGTTTTTGATTTCTTACATGCTCTCAAGACGGAAAAGATTCGGTTCGCAATAAAACAAAAGCCAAAACTTTTTCTGAAAGTCTGGAGCCCTTTTCTGGAATATTTTAAGAAGACAACTACATCTTAATTTTTTTATTTTTTATTATTAATTAATTAAATTTTTATTTTTTCCCCCCTAATTTAGTTTATTAGTTATTTATTTGGTGTATAATTATGCTTGCCTGGTGTTATCTTTTTTCTTAATTTGAATTCATGTATGGCTGTATGCTATATGTCTATCTATATTATTTATACCATATTTACGTTATTTTTATTTTCTGTCTGACCTAAGATGAACCAAATAAAGCAAAACAAAAAAACTAAAAACTTTTTACGTTAAGGCAATCCAATTGGATTTCGTAGATAAAAACACTAAACAACATTATATAGGCCTATATTATACATTTATTATTTCATTCTTTATAAAATACCACTGTTACGGTGAAACGTATGTACTACAACAGTTCTTGGTTCACGTCTAGCTGGACATGAGAAGAAAAGATATATGGCTTATAAAGTGAGTGTTTCACTGAACAGCTTTACTAATCCGCAGTTTTTATCCACTACGAAGAACCAACTCATTGGAGTTTTTTTTAAGGAGCTGCCAACACTAAACTGGTGACTGGTGACCGTGGCTCACCATTTTGTGCAGATTCACAGATACTACAAAATCAGTAATGAATCAATTAACTACTCAAATCGATATCGATTCTCAAAAGCCGCGAATCGATCTTTTCCAGGATTTATTTCAGCACACATTTAAAATAAGACCTGATTAACGTGAATCTTATCATTAGTCTTCTCCTCTAGATGTCCCCCTTATTTACCTTGCGCGATGTTACAACAGAAAGCCAGAAAGCCTGTCATTCATTCAGCGCTTATCATGGCCATACGCGTGATTCGCAATGCTCAGGTGAAGTGCTATAGTAATACTATACATCTGCGGAAGCATCTATCACCACGCATAAGGCGCCATGATTTCCACAATGAATGAATGGCGCGGCGCACTGTTTTGTTTACTACACACATACTAAAGCGCGGATGACGCTCGCGGTGTTTTCAGCTTCTGCCGTCTCGCTATATGATGATATGAACACGAATGTCTTCTCCAGCTGCTCTGAGAGTCACTTCATTAGCATTTACCGTTTCATTTGAGAAAACTACCCTCATATCACATACACAGCAGCTGCAAGCTCTTCACGGCAACCCGTCAAAATAAACGTTTAGTTTAACGTTAAGAAACTGTCAGAATATATTACTATTTAGCAGTCTTAAGAATCAATGCTACTACTGCTAATAAATATTAATACATCTTTATTTTTAAAGGAATAATCACAATTATTTTAATTTTAACAGTAAACCTCTGTTGTGCAGCACTTTGTTTGCCAAAAAATAAAAGGGTTTACTTTTAATTTGTTTAAAAAAGGACCCATACAAAAAAAAGAATATAGGTTTAAAATACAGGCATGTGGCTCTTAATTTCGTTTTATTAATTCACCATTTGTAAACTGATGTTTACTGTTAATTTTTATTAAAACTCTATTCACTGAATGTAATCGTGTCGCTATTACGAGAAAACATGCCGTTTTAACGAGAAAACATGCCGTTTTAATGAGAAAACGTGTCGTTATTACGAGAAAACATGCCGTTTTAATGAGAAAACATGTCGCTATTATGAGAAAACGTGTCGCTATTATGAGAAAACGTGTCGCTATTACGAGAAAACGTGTCGCTATTACGAGAAAACATGCAGTTTTAATGAGAAAACGTGTCGCTATTATGAGAAAAGATGCCGTTTTAACAAGAAAACGTGTCGTTATTATGAGAAAACATGCCGTTTTAACGAGAAAAGATGCCGTTTTAACGAGAAAACGTGTCGCTATTACGAGAAAACATGCCGTTTTAACGAGAAAACGTGTCGTTATTACGAGAAAACATGCCGTTTTAATGAGAAAACATGTCGTTATTACGAGAAAACGTGTCGCTATTACGAGAAAAGATTTCGTTTTAATGAGAAAACGTGTCTTTATTACGAGAAAAGATGTCTTTTAACGAGAAAATGTCTTTATTACGAGAAAAGATGTCGTTTTAACGAGAAAACGTGTCTTTATTACGAGAAAAGATGTCTTTTAACGAGAAAATGTGTCTTTATTACGAGAAAAGATGTCGTTTTAACGAGAAAACGTGTCTTTATTACGAAAAAATGTCGTTTTAACGAGAAAATATGTATCGTTATGTATCGAGTATCGTTAAAACAACATATCTCGTTATTACGACATAATTGAGTGGAAAAAATAATGTGTGTGGCAGCAATGCGTCACCGTACAATAGGGTTCATTAGTTAACTACTTTAGTTCACATGAACTAAGCATGAGCAATACTTCTAAAGCATTTATTAATCTAATGTTATTATCAACATTTACTAATGCATTATTAAAATTACAAGTTGTGCTTGTTAATGCAGTGTTGAACTAACAGTGAAAACTATTTTCATTAACTATCATTAACAACGATTAATAAATACTGTAATACATGCATTGTTAATTGTTCATGTTAGTTAATACATTAACTAATGGAACCTTATTGTAAAGTGTTACCGAGTAAGCAAACAAAAAGTGCTGTACATTGTCAGATGAGAATACCATGCCACAGAATTATTATATGCATGGTATTTCTGTAAGTGCTATAGAATACAATCAAAGAGATCCGATCTTAAAGTTGAGCAGAATTGAATCAAACAAGTCCAGTCCAAAAGTTGGGATTTTTAAAATGTAATCCTTGCAGTACCGTGATGAATTTAATAGATTAGAATAGAGTAGGATGTTACAAAATAGCACTACAGTGATAATAAGGTTTGATGTGATTAACAGTAATTGTGCATATGTTGGATTTCCATGTCCATGTTAGATATTTCATATTTTAAGCAAATCTAATGTTCTTTTAATAGACCTAATACACCTAAATAGGCAACACAATTACTAGAACCTACTCACTAAAGTTAGTGAAAGCAGAACATGTAAAAATACAATCTAATTAAAGATATAATGTGATGTGAGCTGGATAGAATCAATGCGTGCACCCAAGCGTGACTTGATGGTGGTGTTTTCTGTCTCTCTGTACTCTTGTCTCTGCAGGTTCAGAGAACGCATGTGCAAAAACGTCATTCACGTTTCTAAGACAGGAGCTGCCTGTCAGGCTGGCAAATATTATGAAAGAAATTGATTTATTGCCTGATAATCTTCTGAGGACTCCTTCAGTGCGCCTGGTGCAGAGCTGGTCGGTGTCAGTGCACACATGCAGTCTTATTATTCTGATATGAGTGCGTGTCTAAACTGCGTTCTTGGGTTGTGTTGCGTCTCTGCAGGTACATGCACAGCTTCCAGGATATACTGGAGTTCAAGGACAGGGATGTTGATGATGAAATGCTCAAACAAGAGTAAGAGATTCATCAAACACCTTCTAGTAGAGGTCTTCTTGGGTCCTAAGGATGGACCCTTTTCAAATTTCAAGGGTTATCAGAAGCAGAAATCCTCATAGTTGGCTAAACATCTATAGTGGGGAACTCTACTACAGCAGATATAACTGTTGCATTCACATTTGCCCCAATAGCTATATTAGCATTTAGTGATAGAATGTCTGTGACTTTCCAAATATAGATATAAATATGTAAAATGTATATATATAGAGAGCTTGATTAAGTTGGTAAGAAGAGAGAAAGATGACAAATATGCACAAAGTATAGTTATAAATGTGCAGAACATTTTTGAATATGAAAATATAAAAAACATTGCTCGATTTACAAATTGTGTCATAGAACAAAAACCCTTAAAAGTAAAACTTTAAATGAAATGTCATAAATTATATTTCAAAAAATGTTTGTATAATAAAAAAAATTGCATTTTTATTTTATTAAATGTTGGTCAGAAGAAAAAACTTGTCAAATTTGCCATCACTGTATTAGAAACATTCATGCAACAACATTAACTAGTTTTCTGTAATTTAATGCCGATAAATATAAAAAAATAGCTAGATTTACAATATTAATAAGAATGGAATCATGTCATTATGTTGCTGTTGCACGCAGCTGTATACTGTAGGATTTGGTCATTTACATAGAAGCATGGATTGACACCCGAAGAAGGGGGATAAAAATCATAAAAAAATGATTGATATGTTTGTTTTACATAATAAAATATTGCTCAATGCTCAAAATGAAAAATTAAATGTTGGCATATTTTAAAATAATTCAGGTCTTCTCAGGTCTATTTGGTAAAACTGCATTTATTTAAAATGATCCCAAACCCGAGGCTACTAATATCAGACCTGACCCGTGTCTGAAGCACCCGATTAAGTTTTGAACCCAAACGCACTTGGGTCTCGATCCATGTGCACCCGTGAAGACCTCTACCTTCCAGCCCAACACACACACACACACGCACGCACGCACGCATGTTGGTTTTTATGGTTTATGAGGACTCTCCACAGGCTTAATAAACCACATAAACATGCACACTCACTCACTCACTCACTCACACTCACTCACTCACGTTGTTGTAGCTTCACAGATGCTGTGATTAAGATCAGAAACCGGCACAATGATGTGGTGCCCACCATGGCTCAAGGAGTGGTGGAATATAAGGAGACCTACGGGACCGACCCCATCACCAGCCAGAACATCCAGTACTTCCTGGACCGGTTCTACATGAGCAGGATCTCCATCAGAATGCTCCTGAACCAGCACAGTGAGACCCACACACACACACATCTAGTGCTCTGTGATGCTTTATAATGGGGCCCTTTATGGACAGCAGAACTGTGAAGTCTGCTTTAAATGTGAAGGGCTTCTGGAGTGTTCACTCGTCGGTCAGCCAGTAAACATCGAGCTGTGTTGTTCCACCACCAGTGAGAGGATTACATGTCATTAACATCATGTCTGTGTTTTTCCAGCTCTTCTGTTTGGGGGAAAGGTGCATGACAATCCTGCTCATCCCAAACAGATCGGCAGCATTGACCCCAGCTGTCACGTCACTGATGTTGTGAAAGGTGACTGCGATCTATCTATCTTATAAACATGTAGCAATAATTAAAGATTGCATTAGTGGGGTAGTGAGAATTAAGCAAATGTTCCCTCAAACATCTCAATTATCAGATTCTTTTATAAAGATTTTTTTTTTTTTTTTAATTTTTAAATCAGCGTAAATTAAATTCAGTACATCAAATGCTACCATGAAGTATTAAACACTTAAATGTATAAATATAATTTTAAGAATTTATCATTAATATATCATTATACAGGCACTAATAAAAATCTTATAAGAAACATAATTGAAAATAGAAATATATTTGTATTTTAAAAAGTTATAAATGTTTTGGAATATGCACATATATATATATATATATATCTCAGTTATTTCACTTTAATGGCACGTTGATGTTTATTGTCATTAAACTGAAAACCTAAACATAGGAACATGATAAAAATGATAATTTTAGAAGAAAATTTCAGATGGCACTTGGAGGCTTTTGCTTCTGAAGTCTTCATATATAT